TCTTTAAAGTTGTTAGTAGTGCCAGTTTTAAAATTGGTTCTTAAAGAACCGATTTTGTATGTAACTTATAAAATTGGTTCCAAAAAGAATCGATTTTGTATACTAGATACAAAATCGGTTCTTTAAGGATTGATTTTAAATGTCCAATAGTAATTTGGAGGAGAACCCTGCTGCTTTCTTATTTGTGTTATTTGCTAAATCGATAGTGTTCTCACTTTTCTCTTGCATGCCCCCACCTTGCTTCACGATACTTCCTCTTCTCCGTCATCACCGTTCACCCAATTATGCACGTTGTTGTTGCTGGCCACTGTGCTTTGTTGCTTTTGTCTTCGTTGTGCCCTTTCTTAAAGTGCCAAGCCGGTGTCGCGTAATTGGTTGTTGTTGTTCGTCGTCCCAACTTTCTACTTCCCAACTCTTATCATAACCTTCAAATCATAGGCTTTTGTAGACTGTAGAGGCTTTTTGTTTCTCAACTCTTGTCAAACTCTTTGGGTATGGAATCCTTCTATAAGTGTTCACAAAAGGTATTTTCCTCACCTATTGAATCAAATATGAATGCCATGTTTTTCACGTTGTTCTATGGTTTTGGGTATGACCCATCAAAAGATGATTATTTGGTTGTTAAAGCCTCCTACAACCCATTCTTGTGATGCAATGTGACCTGGGTGCAATTTTTCTCGCTCAGAGATAACACATGGCGCGATATTGAGGCTTCCCATTTGTCTTATTATTTACTCTCCTCATGGTGTTTTAGTAAAGGGTTGTTTTTGAATAGTGCTATTCATTAGTTGGGGTTTCCTAATGGTTTATCAATGTATGATGTTGTTGCCTTTGATGTAACAATATTGTTCCTTCTCTTAATGGTGTATCACTACAAGAAAATTGCATATTAGTGAGGGACAATTCCCTTGCTATTTCTTCTCTAATCCCTTGCTAATCAAATTTGCGACAGGATAGTGAAGGAATAGTGAGGGAACCTTCCCTCGCTAAATACAGGTAGCTAATTAGAGAAGGATTGTATTTGATGGAAAATCTAGGAGAATGATGAATGTTTTCCCCTTAGACTTACTCCAAGCTCCTTGGATCTTCCTTAAATGATTGTTGGACGTGAAAAGATATGGATGAAGGATGAATGAGATGGAGTTGCTGGACGTAGAAACACTTAAGCCAAAGGAGCAAAGGATTGCTCACAAAGGTGCCAATCCTAGAAGTTATGTGAAGAACCCTAGAACTAGGCGTGAATTTATGATTTCATGTGGGAGAGAATTATGCAAAGTGAAAAATGATATGTATAGAATACTCAAAGTGACTACAAATGAGTGGGAAGAGAGGCTTATATTGAGTTTAGAAGTGGTGCCACTCAAAGGAACATTTTGGCATCAAAATTTGGATTCAAATTTGAAATTTGAATTTAATTTTCGTCCAAGTGAGATCTGGTCATGTGCAGTCACATTTGTTTGTTAATTAGGTCTAATTTAGAGTTCATTTGAGTTTCATTTGGTGGCCACCATGTGCGGCCCCCTTGGCTAATCCACATGTGCTCCAAATGTAACCTAATTGAACCTAAATTTGACTTAATTAACTAATTACTTTAATTAAGCCTTAATCCTATGCTAATGGCCAAATACAATGGCAAAGCTATCCTAAATGTTCTCACCTGAGATCGGCTTGAGGGGCGATCACTTCGGTGAGATTGATGAGCCTCTTCTCTTAGGTACGTAGGTTGTGCCGAGATGGGGGTGGTACATGCAAAAGAGACTCCGATGCTAAAGTTAGTCTTTGTGGATGTGTGAGTCTCATATATATAATACACGTACCTTGGTGTGAATTAGGATTTTCTCCCTAGGCGAGAACATAGTTGATTTGGGTATATGGTTGGTTGTGGCCCAATGGACTGTGGGCTTGTGTGTTAGCCGATGTCATATTGTGCCTGGATACCGAACTCGATCTCGATGTACGAGGTGGATAGTACACTAAACAATAAGAAATAATAAAAGAAGCAAAATGAGTATAATATTAGGCACCAAAATACCCAAGGTCCATTAAGCCAAAAAATAGGCCCAATAAGCCTAAGGCCCAAAAACCCTAATCTATGTGGCCCAAAATACAAGACCAAAATGTATGAAACCTATACTAATTTAATATACACAAATAGTGTATCCCAGAGTATGAGCCATGTGAAGAGTATCTTGGGCCCACCAACCCCACTAGGCTCACCGAGCTCTAAACTACTCAAGTCTTCATGTATCCTCCTGGTTATGGCTCTGGTGGTTGGACCTTTGGTCCAAGCTACTCCATCAGTATCCCTTGCTTATCTGTAGCAAATAGTGTTGCCAAACCCTCACTAAGTTCCTCATTAATTGTATTAAGGATGCTTAATGTGCCCAACGCTAATTAGCAGCCAATCTTTCTTGCTATTCCTTTGCTAATGGCTCGCAAAATATCCCTCTCTAATTTGTAGTTATTCCCTCGCTACTTTTTCCCTCGCAAAGCACACCCTATTCCCTTGCTACATGTGACACTCTCTACCCACTTACATAATACACAATAATTGTAAGATAAAATTAGAATGAATAAAAACTTTCTCAATTAGATAAGTCTTAATTAACAAAGAGGTAAAGGATTCACATTTGCATACATAATCATAATTCACTTCTGGAAATTACAAAAGAAATAAAATTAAAGGTTTTCCAAACAAAAGAAAGAAACTAAAGTCCTAAACTAATCCTAACTATGCCCCAATGTCACATATCCTATAAGAGCACGTCCAACTAAAGCCTAAGCCTCATCACCAACATTCTCATGTTGATGATCATCTGTAACACAATTTAAACACATACAAAGAATAACAAGGGAGTGAGAAACATCTCACTCAGGTTTAGGTGCAGAAATAAAGGTTAGACAACACACATAATAAACATAATACAAGTCACGAGCACTAATCATATATACACAGTACACATACACAATCAATGTCACATGCACACTCATTTATCATGCAATGATATCAGGGAATCGACTCATAAATGCATGCATGTGGTGTCAATCACATATCACTGGTGTGTTGCCTAAACAACACACCTAAGGTAGGCTAGAAGTACATGTAGGGAGCTTTCCATACACTCTCAACTAGAAGAATGTACTGCTAGGGTCTGGTCGAGATAACGAAGCTATGCAAGTTACGTCTTGTGCTCACAAACGGGCAGAATTGAGACATCCAAACCACACTATCCCCTAGGACTCCCCCAAGCTATTACATAAGGAAAGACTTCCCTAACGGTGTACTCCATATCGTACCCGACACATAGATGCATATGATGCATGCCACACACATTCACACTTCATGGACTCATCACTTTACTTATCATATCAGATCAGATCTCATGTCACTTGTTCATATTTCACATTTCTCATACTCATAGTCACAAGGTCACATATAAGAGATTCTCATCCTCATCATGCTCATAGGAAACACGTCACTTGCATTAACATAATAATAAGGCAGTTCTCACACCATTAGCACATTCAAACATGGCTTAAAACTTATCTATTTTTGAAATTAAACACATATTCACACTCAACAAATATCAAGGGACACAATAGAAAACTGAAACATTAAAATAGAAAATATTCATATTTTACCTGTTTCTCATAGGGTTTCTTGTAGGAACCTATAGAGTACTCTAATCCCTATCAAAATATATTCAAACTCAAAATTAAATATACATTCATGCTCAGTAATCATCAAGGAACACAACAAAAAGATCAGAAGTTAAAACAGAAAACATTCAAAATTTGCCCTTTTCTCATAAGGTTTTTCAAAGGAACCTATAAAGCACTCTAATTCATATCAAAACATATCCAAACTCAAAATTAAACATACATTCATGCTCAGTAATCATCAAGGAACACAACAGAAAACTCAGAAGCCAAAATAAAAAAACATTCAAAATTTGTCTATGCTCGTAGGGTTTCCTGTAGGAACTCATAGAGTACTCTAATCCATATCAAAACTTATCTATTCTCGAAATTGAACGTATATTTACACTCAGAAGCACACAAGGAACGCAATAGAACATTCAAAAAGCAAAACAGGAAACTTTCATAAAGTGCCTATTCCTATCAGGCAAGAGATTGAGGGTCAATCCTACTACCCAACAGTTATTCTCAGTTGGAATCAAGGTGCTGATACCAGTGCTGGACTCAGCTGAGCCGTACGGAGTTTTCTTCAAGCTCATTCCTCTTCTTCTTCATCATTCTCTTCCTCCCGAAGCTCGGAACCGTTGAACCGAGGTAAGGGAAGTTAGCTTTCTTGTTGTGTTTTGGTTGAAATGGGGTTGAGAACTCATTGAGTTGTTAAGAGTGTTGGATTTGTTGGCTGATTTGGGTGTATCATGGAGTTTTTGGGGTTGTTGGGAGTTATGGGGGAAATTGGGGATTTTCTCATTCTGTTGTTGCATGTGTAAAAAGGTAGCATTTTTGGACTATTGGATGTAAATGTGATAATTTGAACCGATTGCATGTGGAGTTTTGCTGATTTTTTTTTTTGCAGATTCTTGAAGAGTTTTCGAAAATATGAGGTTTGCTGTTGAACTCGCGCTGGGCGCAGTTCTTCGCGCGTGGCCATCTGAAGGCAGCATTTAGGCAAGTTCGCCAGGCGCAAAGATGTGTGCGCCGGGCGTGCTTGAAAATGTTAGCCTCTAGATGGTGGATGGCCCACGTCGGGCGAGGGTTGAACCGCGCTGGGCGCGATGTTAGTCGTGACTTGTTTTTGGGCTTCTGGTATGGCGCTAAGCGCGATTTTGGCCACGCTGGGCGCGACACTACTAGGAAAATACTGTTTTACATCGCTATATTTACATCAGTTACCCAAAAAATGATGTAAAAAATATATGCGGTGGCAAACTTGTAATTAAATGGAAAATATAATCAAATTGACATTGATATGTAAAAATGAAGTATTCTACGTCGGTTTCCTTTTAACCGATGTAGAAGTGATGAGCAATAATGCCTTCAGCGCCTCTCAACATTCTTCCCTTTCTCTCGTCTTCAACCAAACCCGTCTTTTCCCTAACCCTCCCTCCGCAAATCTTCCACCCTCCGCAAACCCTATCCCTCGACCCTCCCTTCTCCAACCTTCCGTGATTTCGTCAAATCAATGGCCAAAGACACCGATTCTGACGAGTTCGTCTTGCTCTCTAGGGTTCGCTGCGGCCTCAAGTGTGAGTTCGCCTTCATCATGAAGGCCCAGTCCGAGATCTGCACCGCCTCCTTGGGCCGGACGCGGGCCAGCAAGAACCGTCCCGACCGGCCGCTCCAGCCCGCCTCGGCTCGCAAGTACTCCAGGAAGGCCGAGGAGCCCAAACCCCCCGAGGACTTGGTTTTCCGGCAACAAAGTGCCGCCGCCGGTGGTGTGGGTGGTGGTGGAGATGAACGACAACAAAGTCCCGTTCGCGACATCTCCCTCAAGCTCCAGGAGGAGGAATATGCTAGGTTGCACAATTCTCAGCACTTGAATATTCATATAGCTTCATATTCTGATCGTGTTGAGTAGTTTTTCCCTTCCATTTTTTTCCCTCTTTGACTTCTCTTCACCTTAATACTCCTGATTTTCGCCCTAATTGGAACCTTCCTAAATCACTGCACTTATCAGCATTAAAATCTTTGTTTCTTCAAAATGTGTGTTTTGTTACAAGTGATGGCAATGACTTTGCTGAGCCCTTCTCAACATGTGTTTTGTTGAATACTTTGGTCCTTGGAAATTTTTGTTTGGCTAAGGATGTTAAAGTCTTACGCATATCTAATCCTAACATTTCTAGTTTGAGCTTGCATACTTGGAAGGAAGTGGATTCTTACCATATTCAGCTGTCTGCTCCAAAACTTAGTTTTCTTAGTATCATTGACGTTGATTTTTCCTCTTCTCACCAACTCTCCTCCACATGCAATCTTACATTCCTTGAAGAAGTACATATTGACACGTATTCTGATATTTATTCTCCAATCATCTTAAACTGGTTGCAACTATTTTCTAATGTAAATAAAATGACAACCTCGATGGCTACCTTTAAGTCTATTTCAGATGTAAGTTCATTTTCATTTGATTTTTGTATTGTTTCTATAATATTTGCATGTTTACTTCAGAATATTGCCTGTTAGTTTTTTCATATATATCTAAAGATTCACTAAAATATGTTTCCACTTCTTTCTGATATAGTAGGTTCTATCAAATTCTAGTTTAGTGGAAATTCAATTCCCTAACCTTGTTAGATTAAAGCCGGTTAAAGAGACAGTGGATGAATGTTTCTCTGTATCTGCTGAGGATGTAAGGGTGGTTAACCAGTTTTTACAGAAGTTTCCATCAACCACATTTGATTTGATAAGGTGTTATATGAAATCTGTTCTTGTGCATTTTGTACATGTGATGATTATTTTACCATATGTTTTCAGTGTTTACTTCATTATATGATTAACTTCTTTGCTTGTGATCTCTTAATTTTATGATGATCATTAATCTTAATTATTTATTATTTCTTTGAAGAACATATGAAACCCTTATTTTGAAGAAAAGGAACATTCATCAAGTTGGAGGTGAAATTGATGCAGGGTGACAGAGATAGTAATATGGACGAGGACAGTATCAGGGGTAGATGTCATTGTTTTGTTTAGCATAATGATCTCTTTTTACGAATTTAACTTTATCTAATTTTTGTTTCCTCGTTTTTCAGAAGCCTTTTAGAGAATTGTTAATTACCTACCCAAAAAAAAAACAAAAAGACTATCTCGGTGATAACTTAGTTTTTGTTTTTTTTTGTTTTTTCCCCTTTGTTGTTGTTTATTCGGCTTTAGGTGGATGATAGTTTTTAATGTCAATGAATTATAACTTTATCATGTTATTATATTGTTTTGTTCAAACATATCTTTTTATTAATTAGTTATGATGCATTGTAATATTTTATTTCATTTGTGTATATAATTTTGATTTGTCATGATTATAACTGAAATTGGGATTGCAAATGGAAGAGAGTAAGGGTGGAGATAGTTATCAAAAGCTAATTAATTTAACGTGGTTGTCTATCTTTATTAAGACACTACTATGATTGTTGGAAAAATTCTAATGACAATGTAGAACTAAGTGTTATCAGCAAGAGAAATTGGTTAACTTTACTGTGGTTATGTGATATCATCAGCACAACAGTTTTTGTCCATTGGAATGCAGCTGAAAACAAAACTCTCTTCATTTTGTAACACCTTGGCCTTCTTTCACATTTGAAAACTTCTCTCATTTTCTTCATTTTATTAATGGTATAAAGTGCTGAACATTTAATTATTTTCATATCCTGCAGATGTGGTCCAAAGTGTGTCTCAGGGTGTTAGAGAGGTTTGTGTCTAGTACTGTAAATCTTGCAACATGATATAGAGTCTGTTTGGGTAAACTTCTTTAAAGGAACTTCTAGGAGTGAAAAATGAGAAGGAAAAATGAAACAAGTTTCTCCATTAACTAAAATATGCTCAATTATAATTTGATTTGTAGAAGTTCTCTCCAATTAGATTCTCCAAAATCTTATTTTTTACTTACACATAAGTTACTTTTAGCTTATAGAGAAACTTATTTCAATTTTTTTTCTTATTTCTTCCTCCTAGAAGTGCTTATAGAGAAGTTTATCCAAACAGGCCCATATTCTAGTTTTATGTTTTGAAATCCTGATACAATTGTTGTTTATCTCTATTTTGACTTAATGCACCATGTGAAAATGTAGAACATGCTACTTTGCTCAGATTTTAATGATCATTCAGAGCAGTCAGGTGATTATTAGTTTCCTACCTTCTATTTGCATTATAATCTGTCATAAGCTTTGTTATATTTACAGAGAGGATATAGCTTTTAACTTTAGAAAGATTATATTAGTCTTGATTTATTTTTTATGAAAGCTTCATTCTGCTATCTCTGGCTGTGTTCTAATTAATGAACTGTGTTCTAGGAGAAAGAATAAATTTCCAATACCGAGAAGAAATCTTTCTACTTACAGAAGCAAGTTTTCTGTGCATTGCATGGGTATTTTTAAATAAAAATAAATTAAAGAGAATAGAGTATGTCTTTATTATTAATAGTGAATAATTTATTATATTTAATAGTGAAAATTAAAGAGATATGATTTTATAATTAAGGAAACTATGGAAAAATTATTAAAATCAAGGCACAATCTATATTGATATGGTTAGTTAAAATTTAAAATTTAAAATTAAATTCAAAATAGGATTAACTTACATTACAATAATGTTAAAATTAGTTTATTTTAAAAAATAAAGACATCTTCAATTCAATATTATACATGTTGAATGATCAGATGCTATATGCTGGTATAGAAGCTTCCTGAACACAAGTCAAAAAGTTTGGTTCCCAATTCCCATTGAACGTTCTTTTTGAGCTTGGTTTGAATACTGACGAAAGCACCTATTGTGCTTGGTGGGAACCATGTGGTCAAGGGGAGTTAATAAGGATTTGCTTAAACTACTGGTAAGGGAAAATTTGCTTCTAGGAAAGAACAGTGTTGGTTACTTGATTAGATTTTAATTTTCAGGCATCTGGCTTGCAATTGCTCAATTTTGAGTCGAGTGAAAAAATTTTGACTTAGTGGAATTGTTTGTCCCAGTTTCATTACCAAAATTTAAAAAAAAAAAAAAGTAATCTACATCGGTTCTCAGTAAAATCGATGTAAATTTAAGCATAAATTTACATCGGTTCTTCAGAGAACCAATGTAGATTTATTCTTAAATCTACATCGGTTGTCCAGAGAACCGATGTAAATTTATGCTTAAATCTACATCAGTTTTTTAGAACCGATGTAAAAATATGCATCTTGTAGTAGTGCGGGGACTCCTTGGAGTCTCTGCCATGGGAGGCGTCGGGCGCAATTCAAATTGTGCTTGGCGCGAGACCAAGGGAGGTCTCTGCCTTCCCCACGCTGGGCGCGGGGTTGGGCACGCCGGGCGTGTGAGACTCCTTGAAGTCTCTGCCTAGCATGCGCTAGGCGCAATTGGTTATTGCGCCAGGCGCGTGAGAGCCTTGGGTTCTCTGGTTGAGTCCCGCCGGGCGCGGGCATGCTTACCCTGAGCGCGCTGATCCCCTGGTGCTCTCGGGTTGCACTGCGCTGGGCGCAACCACGAGTGCGCCGGGCGCGGAGATGAGATTTTAATATTTACTGGTTAATGCTATTTTATGATAAGTTGAGTTGAAATAGATGAATATGATGTGGTGACTAGTAGATAATGATGTTGATGATGTTGGGTTGTATCAGATGAATATTGTTGTAAGATGCGTTGATGTGTTGTAAGATGATGTGTTGTACTGTGTTGTCTGTTGGCTGAGTTGCTGTAGGCCGTGATGACTGAGTTGTTGTAGGCCGAAAGGCTGAGTTGTTGTAGGCCGAAAGGCTGAGTTGTTGTAGGCCGTAAGGCTGAGTTGTTGTAGGAGATCTCCGAGTTGATATGCGTGACGACGCATTGTATGCTTATGGATGATTTTGCTGTAAGAATTGACAGGATGCATTTTGATGAAGTGTTGATAATTGTAGTTGTTATTATTACTTAAATCTTCCTATATGTGGTTTCTTTTTATGCTAGCTTACCCTTTTGTTGTTTCCATGTGATTGGACTGCAATGATCATACTATGTATGGAAGCAGAGTAGGGATAGGTGGTGTATCTGTAGCTGGCAGGTGGAGATGACTCCTTTTGATGCTTTGTTTGTTTCAGCCACTTGGCATAGTGGCTTTGGATGTATTTTTGTGTTGTACACCCTAACTCTAGTCGGATTGGGACCTTTGTATATATTTATATTCTAGATCCTATATTTATATACTCGTTCTGTTCTATCTAGTGTTTCTGGTGCGCTGTGGTCGTGAGTGTAGTGACCAGCCGGGTCGTTACATCAACCATATATGTAATCAAAGTAACTTTTATTTTTTCATTTTTAATTAAATATTTTTTCTGAAATACTAAGTGCCTAAAGAAATAAATCATCAAGGGAATAATATTCCTAAGAATAATACTTCACAGAACGTGATTCCTGGGAATAATTTTATGCCTTGAAACAAATGTGACCTAAAATCTGAACTTAGGCTGGATATGTGAGTTGGAGAAGATTTTTGTTGTTCTGGGATGTTCTCCAGAGAAGAGGTTGGCA